AGTCAACAATTCAACACAACTCCCTCAATCAGGCTTCCCATCAGCACATCACTCTGCTACCTTACCCAGACCTACCACCTAGCAATTCAGCATTATTGGTTGGCATGGTGCTGGAAGCCGCCTGCACCATAGAAATGCACGATGCTGTGTGGCTTGGCTGCCTGCATCCTAGTAATCCCTAGGTGACTGATCCAGTTAAGCCACAGTGAGGCAAACAGGGGATTGAACAGGGGGACTTGGTGAAGGGGAAGCCAGATTAAGCCACAGTGAGGCAAACGGGATTGAACAGGGGGAACTTGGTGAAGGGGATGCCAGATCTGTGTGTCTGAGGGTCAGGGTAATGAAGTGGAACTTTAATCAGAAAATAAACCCTGCTAGATCACATCATGCTGGCCCCTTTTGCAGGTATAGCTATGTAAAACACTAAAAATAAGTGCGTATAATATTTAAAATTCAGTAATACACTGTCTCACCCTGTTCTGCACATGCTCAGTTACTCTCTATTTTTTGGCACCATTCCGAAAATGTAGAGGCCAATCTGCTGACTGCCTAAAGATTTACTGCTGCTCAGGGGCTCTGGGCTTCAGCAACATAGCAGCCTCCAGCAAGAAGAAACATGACTGATACTGGAGGCAATTCACAGCACACAAAAATATTGCGGAATGTAAGTTTTGTGCTCAAAAAAACCTTTTTTCATCAAGTTTTGGGTAAAGTTCTGATTTAAGGCAAGCTGTGGCATGTCCCTTCCCCTTGCACAGTCTCAGGCAAGTGCATGAAACCTGGAGATAGGTACCATCCATCAATTTTCATTTGTTATTCATTGCTAGCTGCACGGTCAGACAGAGGTGGGCCAATCATGCAGCTACCCTTATAAATTTAGGTGAATCTTCTTGAACATCAAAGCATATGGAAACTGTGTACCAGGGGCAGACTGACAACTCATGGGGCCCCCGGGCAATAGGGGATCATGGGGCCCCTGTGTCCTTGCCCAAACTCAAAAAAAGACTATGAAAAAGGTACCAGGGGCATCTCATGGGGCCCCCTACTGACCCCGGGCCCTCGGGCAGTTTCCAAATGGTCAGTCCACCCCTGCTGTGTACTTGATTCTAGGTCCCCATTACATGTGACACTGACATATTTTCTGTTTAAACAGATATACCTCAAGGAGGAAGCATCTGCAAATTACAAATGAGCACCTTGAAGACCCAGAAGAAAAAGCTGTACCAGTAGAGTCAGTAAAACCAGTAAAAACACTCCCATTATTTGTCAAAAAATAAAACCTGCTTTTAAGAAAATGACCAAAAGTCCCAACTTCATGTATTTGTTTCATGTGGAAGTTACCTAGCATTCTTCAGCTTCTTTTGGTCTAACGCAGACACTATGGTACATGAACACATTATACAGTGGTCTGAAGTGTGTGGACTGTACCCCAGGTTCACACCTAAGCGTTTTGCAGAAACGCAGTACAGTCCATTTAACATGATTTCCTATGGGACATCTTCACATCTCCGCGTTTTCACTCAGTGCGTTTTTTGGAAAGGGTCAGGGACTTTAATTTTAATGCAAAAAGTTTAATTTTTTATTCTATAGACTTGAATGGAAATGCTGCAGAAAAGCATGTCCTGCGTTTTAAATCTGCCTAGCAACAAGGGAAAAAAACGCAAACCGAGGCAAAAACACAATGCAGAAACGGCTCAAACGCAACCTGCATGGGTGTGAACCTAGCCTTAGTGGACTTGTGATGTGCCAGTATGAAGCTCAGTGAAGGTGCAGAGGAGACAGATGCAATATACAAGGTGAGGTGTGTGCTCCTGCACCGCCGACAGTTGAGGGGCATTAATGGCTTGCTTTTCTAGCCCTGCTCCAGAGTTCCATGGATTGTGCAGGAGAAACTTTCAGTGCTGGATGACGTTATTGGTCATGCTCCAAAAGATAAGGGGTGGGACACTATCTGCATTAGTTTTTAATGCAATTTGGTCAAAGTGAAAGCCAGCAGCCCATGAAATATTGTTCTTAGCTCCAGCAGCCTTTGCCAAGCCACAGACGTGCAATTTTCTTTTCTTTCCACCTGTGGAGGAAGGAAAGAAAATCTAATCAATTCCCCCATCAACAGTGTTGATAAGGGAATCCTGCCCACAGCACTATTGTGTTCTGCCGGTGGGGAGTCTTCTTGGGCATCAGAATACAGTGATTACTGCTAGGGGGTATAGCCGCAGGCAGTAACTGCATGAACAAAAAAAATCGACAGGATGGTTGTTCCTAGTTGATTGATGGATCGACTTGGGTACAACCAGCCTGTCTATAGATGGATCGAATCTCATCTGGTCCCTGCTGAACCAGCCAAAATTCGATCAATCTATGGCCAGCTTTAGCCATCACAATCTTCAGTGTATTTTGGCACTCCCAGAGATCTGCTTCACTGTATCATGTGGAAGAGGGATATTCACCAGCAAGCCTCTGTGCAGCACATCTTTAAAGTGAACCTATACACTCATCAGCCACTTTATTAGGTACACCTGTTCAATTACTAATCAGCCAATCACATGGCAGAAATGCAATGCATTTAGGCATGTAGACACAGTGAAGAGCATCAGAATGGGGAAAAAAAAGGGGATTTACGTAACTTTGAACGTGGCGTGGTTGTTGGTGCCAGACAGGCTGGTCTGAGTATTTCAAAAACTGCTGATCTACTGGGATTTAACGCACAAACATCTCTAGGGTTTACAGAGGATGGTCCGAAAATATCCAGTGAGCAGCACTTGTCGCCAAACATGCCTTGTTGAGGTCAGAAGAGAATGGGCAGACTGGTTACTGGGACATTGAAAAGGTAGGGTTAGAATTTGGGGTAAACATGAAAGCATGGATCCATTCTGCCTTGTATCAACGGTTCAGGCTGGTGGTGGTGATGTAATGATAGGTGTACCTAATAAAGTGGCCAGTGAGTGTATATTGCCCATGCAGGTTGAAGAAACAGGTTCACTCTAATGGCAGCAGCACCTGCAGCACATTCTCACCTTGGCTTTGTTTTTTTTCCCTGCCATACTGTTCAACCAATGGGAGTGAAGGACAATATCCAATGACAATACTGGTGATTGGTCAAGGAGTGCTGTCACATGGAGGTGGACTTCAGCTGCTCTACAAGCTGCAAGTCACATCCTGCAGCTTATAACGGTCTAAGGCTGGTCATACATGCTTTGAGTTCTCTCATTCAGGGTGGATGGAGGAATCCCTTGCTGCCTATTGTATTCTGACAGCCACCGACTCCCATGGCTGTCTGAATACCTGAACAGTGACTGCATCTGATAGGAATGCAGTCACGGTTTGACTGACAAATTTCCATCAATTTTCAATCAAAGTATGTTGAGATGGATTGTACTGAATTGCCCTGTCAGTACAATCCATCTCAACATACTTTGATTGAAAATTGATGGAAAATTGTCAGGGCAATTCAGCAGGACAGCTAAAATACAAGCTGTGTATGGATAGCATAACTTTTCTCATTCTTTGTGGCAAAAAAAAGGGGGGGGAGGTGGTAAGTAAAAAGTTAGTTGAGTCAGGATTAAAGTAAACCAATTGCTTTGCCCTGCACTGGAAAATCACAGAGCCACTTTACATTTGTCTCCTCATTTAGGAGCTTTTGTTTTAAACACATTTACAAAATGTGCAGCTTTATGAATTTTGTGATTTTATTGGCAATGCACAGCTTTCAAATACCCACCAGAGCGATCCTTCGCAGTGGCCGTTAATGCTAAAATGATAGTTTAGGTGTTCCCAACCCCTGCCGCCAATCTTGTATATAAGGCACCAAAGTACATCATGCAGAGCTCTGGATGTATCTGAAACTTACAGTAATCAACATAATTTGCAAGTTGGCATAATACATGATATTTCAATTGGTTTTAATTTTTCCATCTTAAAGCAAAGTTCCACTGAAAAATAAAATTGTCTCCAGGTAAACTGTGCACGCTACAAGGATTTTAGCAAACTTTATTTTAGATCATTATCTACTTTCTTCTCTTAGATTTGAGGGAGACCTTGCCTGCACTTTCAAAAACTAACTGCTAAGTGGTGAGCTCTGCCTACGTTATATCTAAAGAGGCTCAGGGGTTATTTACTAAACTGGAGAGCGCACAATCTGGTGCAGCTCTGCACAGAAACCAATCAGCATCCAGTTTTTTTTTTTTTCCAAAGCTTAATTGAACAGGCTGAAGTAAGAAGCTGATTGGATGCAATGCACAGCTGCACCAGACTTTGCACCCTCCAGCTTTAGTAAATCAATCCCTTAGCATTGTAATAAGAAACGTTGCTGCACCAGCATCCCTTTGGATGCGCTAGGCTCGTAGCCTCCCTGGCGGTATTCCCGAGTGTGGCTCGGGGTAAAGTTTCAGTACCACAAGCGGTAACCCCGAGCTACACTCAGGCTTACCATGCGGCGCTGCTCCGGGATCCCTCGATCATTTACCTTGAAATGTCCTCCGGCCGATGCCGGCATCTGTCTTCTGGGTTCCATTCCCTGCGAATTCGGGACGTATGGGGGACAGAACGGTGGGAAATTTGAAAATGACAAAAAGTGACATTCACTAAATACACTAAAATAACATAGTAAAACATTACTGTATCAAACCATTTCACATACATTTTGTCCCGAGTGCTTTGTCCTGCGCCCTGCCTGCATTTTTACTGTTCTTTCTGCCTGGAAACTGAAAAACGTCCATGGCGTCCAAAAAGCGTCCCTTTAGGTCCAAATCGGTTTTAGACCGGCTAGAGAACAGCGATAGTAAATTAGAACCACTTGCAGAATTGAGTGATGATTTGTGGAGAAATTTGTCATCAGACACTGAAAACGATTTTGCGACTTTGCTCAGTGATGTGCAAAATTTCAGTGTTTTTGCCCATGGTAGTAGTTGGCGTCTGACTGACTGTGGGGTTGACAGGTGCTTTTAACCACCTTCCGCCCGCCATATAGTACAATGATGGGCGCAAGGTGGTTCTCTCGTTCTGATAGGACGTGTCCTTCCATTCTCACCGCGCGAGCGAGCAGCGCGGCGATCGCCGGTGTGCTGTGTCCCTCGGACACAGCGGATCACGGAAAGAGCCGAAGATATCGGCTCTGTCATGTGATCAGCTGTGTCCAATCACAGCTGATCACGTGTAAACACGGAAATGCCGGTTATCGGCATTTCTCTCCTCTCGAGCTGTCATGCTGACATCTCGAGAGGAGAGGAGAGGAGAGCCGGTAATCGGCTTTCTGCGGAGGGGACATGTACACTGATCATCAGGGCACTGATGATCAGTGTGCCCTGATGATCAGTGTGGCCCCAGAAGTGCCACCTGTCAGTGTCCATCAGTGCCAGCAGTCAGTGCTCATCAGTGCCACATATCAGTGCACACCAGTGCACATCAATGCCACATATCAGTGCCCATCTGAGCTGCCTTTCAATGTCACCCATCAGTGCCAGTCAGTGCCACCTATCAATGCCAATCAGTGCCACCTATCAGTGCCAGTCAGTGCCGCCTAACAGTGCCAGTCAGTGCTGCCTATCAGTGCCATATATCAGTGCTGCCTTTCAGTGCCCATCAGTGATGCCTGCCAATGCCCATCAGTGCAACCTACCAGTGCCTCATTAGTGCAGCCTATCAGTAACCATCACTGCAGCCTCATTAGCGCACATCAGTGAAGGAGAAAAATCGCTTATTTACATAACTGTATAACAAAAACTAAGACAAAACTTTTTTTTTTCAAAATTTTCAGTGGTTTTTGGTTTAAGAAAAAATAAAAATCCCAGAGGTGATTAAATACCACCAAAATAAAGCTCTGTCTAAAAAAAAATGATAAAAATTTCATATGGGTACAGTGTTGCATGACCGCGCAATTGTCATTCAAAGTGTGACAGCGCTGAAAGCTGGAAATTGGCCTGGGCAGGAAGGGGGTATAAGTGCCCTGTAGGCTAGTGGTTAAAGAGCTCAGACAGGTGCTACTAAGTTAGATTAATGAGGTGGAGTAGAGGTGGACTTTTTAAAGACACAGTAACAGGTCTTTGAGAGCCAGAATTCTTGCTGTTTCTCAGGTGTTCAAATACTTATGTTCAGCAGTGCAAGACAAATAAATTCTTTAAAAATCATACAATGGGATTTCCTGAATTTTTTTTTTTTTTAAATTCTGTCTCTCAGAGTGAGAATGTACCTACAATGTGAATTCCAGACCCCTCCATGATTTCTAAGTGGGAGAACCTGCAAAATCGCAGGGTGTTCAAATACGTGTGTGTGTGTGTGTGTGGTTTTGCACAGCCCTGCCGCCCTGTAGCAGTAGTTCTGCTATAGGGCAATCGAGAAGTGGTTAAAGGAAAACTATACCAATAGAAATATGGAGGCTGTCATGACTGACTTGGTTTTGAAATGTTAGGTTCCTGACCACCTTTACCCTCAATACTTTCTAAAGCTGGGTACATACTGATCGAATATGGCTCAGCAGGAACCGGCTGACTTCCGGTCAGTGTGTACAGCTGTCTGCTCAACAAAAGCCAGTTTAAAGTGGTACTGTTGTACTGTTGTGGGTTTAGTAACACTTTACTGACCAGCTTATGGGTTTAGTAACACTTTACTGACCAGCTTATGTTGAAGAGATATGCTGGAAAACCAGGATTTGATCAGAACAAGCATGCAGCTAGTAAAGTCAAAGAAAATAAGAACACCTTGCCTGAATACTTAGCAGTAATAAAGCCTTTGCATTAACATAACAGCCATGCAACTAGCAGCAATGGCAGCCTATTTCGTTTAGACTGTATGCAGACTGCTTTGGAAAAGCAATGAGCTAATGCTATGAAGAAGGGGGGGTAAAGACTGAGGAGTTCTGAATGCAGACTACTGTGGCCATGGTTACAAAAAAAAAAAAAAATTTTTGGCAGTTTTAGCTGCAGCCAGAAATACAGAGGATTTATTTTAAATAAATCTGAACTCAATGCAAACTGCTAAATAAACAGATAAAATTCGTATAAGGGAGAGAATGCCAAAGGAACAATTCTAATATTCACACAGCCCAGCCCTATCCAGCAAACCATGAGACCTGATTTTTCTCTGCTGCAGTTCAGAAAAGCGTAAAGGTCTTGCCCCACCCACAGCATGAGACTGGGCAGGGAAAGAAGCAGAAAGCTGATGAGCACATCTCTGTCACTTTGTTCTCTTCACCTGTCAACATGCTGGAATATGATCACTACAGCACGGTTGACCGTTCTCCATGTACCGCTGCTCTTTCTCCCAGTCTGCTGAACGTGGACTGCAAGAGGCCAATACCAAATCAAATACAGGTACTTACATTGCTTGAATGAAGAAAACACATAATGTAATGAATACAGAGCTGCATTAATTTGTGTTTTTATATCCTCCAGGAGTTGAGGTTTAGTTACAAAACAAACGGCACTGTGTAGTAATAAAATGGAAGCGGAAGAGCGATCACATGGAACCAGTCCAACTGACAGTGACAGTTTGGGAGTTCACTGTGGGGGAAACCAAAGATTTCATATTAATTCCATTCACTGAAGCATCTCTATAATCAGATCCCTGCTCTGAACAATGGCACAATGATTCTCCTCTTTAGTGACAGTCCTTACACATACATGCAGAAGGAGTATCAGTCTGTATAAAATACAAATACAAAAATAGAACACAGAGGTATAAAAATATCTACCAACTTGTTAGACAACAGAAGGTTTTATAACCCGATGTCCATGTCTTAAGTTATAAAAATACACCTTACACTATACAGAATGTCTGTTTACTGAACACGTCACACTACAGACCAGGGCAAGGCGACCTTGGCAATTCAGCTGCTGTGGTACATTTCCCATGAGGCATTGCAAGATGATGCCGCTGGCATGACTCCGAGAGGCAGAGGCATGATGGAATTTGTAGTTTCACCAAAGCTGGAGTGCCGAGGATGCCTACCCGTGGTGTAGGCCATGGGTAAGGGGCTTCTGCTTACTCTCAGCATCCTCTAATGCAGTGGTTCTCAACCTGGGGTGGAACGACCCTTTCACAGGCGTCCCCTAAGACCATCAGAAAACACATATTTCCGATGTGTAAAGAGCAGCTACTGTGTAGAAAGCAGCTGCTGTGTTGAAGCAGCAGTATTGGAGGTAAAACGACACTCATGAATTATAATTACTGGGTAAATAATTTTATGGTTGGGGGTCACCACAACATGAGGAACTGTATTAAAGGGTCACGGCATTAGGAAGGTTGAGAACCACTGCTCTAATGCTACCTATAACAGCATCTCTGCAGAAATTTAGAACCAATTTGCCCAACGTATTATACTTAATCAGTTGCCTGACTAAATTCCTAATCATACATGCAGGGGTGGACTGACCATTTGGAAACTCGGGCACTGCCCGAGGTCAGTAGGGGGCCCCATGAGATGCATATATACTATAGGTAGTTATTAAGAGGTTGTTAATTAAGTTATCGTGTCACCCAATGTTTGGTTTCCATTCAGTAGCCAAAAAAGGCATTCAAAAAAGGGGGGTTTGTGAAAAGAGATTCACAGAAAAGCGGCTACATTATGAACAGACCGTGACACTCAGAAAATTTTCCAAAAATTATGCTTTATTACACAGATATAAATATGACATATGGGCATTCGCCCTGGTTTACCATCACCTCAGTATGAGACAATAACACACAGACCTAAAACCATATAAAATGACATCAAGACCGGTCTAAATGTATGTGCAACAGAAAAAGTGACAGCAAGAGTCTAATATCTCTGTAGTACAAACACATAGGTAAACACTTCCCTAAAGAGGTGTATCCAAAAATTATACCATAGGTATACCATAATATTGAATAATGAATTTACACCAATATCATAATGGTGAATCCCAAACAGGGAATCCAAAAATTATACTATGGATATACGTATATCACATGTATGAAATGCAGTAAGCACAATAAGCGTGAAGAGGGGAACAGTAAGCCTCAGGCCTGTTTGGAAAAAGACATAAATGTCAAATATATGATGCAATACATTCCTGTGCCGGCACACGTGGTTGGGGCCCGTTCATCTGTAATGTAAACAGCTGTGTCATAAAGCTCTTGAATGGAAATAAGCCCCATTTATTCCCAGGATGGGAGAAAAGGTGCAGATTGCAGCACTCTGCTTGAAATGGTGTCTTCACCACTGTATGTGGACTACACACCACCCTTTGTAGGAAAAGCAAGACATATCCCAAGGAATCTTCTGCCTGTTGAACTATATGCGGTATGCCCTGTATCCTACACAAAGCACCATAATGTCCCCATCCTGTAGTGAAACAAATAATGTGGGAAGTCACTGACAGAGCTTGCACTCAATAAGATATGTAGGTCATATTAATCACAGAGGACCGTATATCTAATGTCCTGTAACAATCCACTCACCACCTGTGCCGTGGATAAAGGGAATGAAAGAGATGTCCTTCATGGATATTGCCAAACACGGCCACAGAGGCCCAGGAACCACCGCTGACATCCGCCGATATACCGCGGGTTCCAGCCCCCTCTCAGCGCCTGTGCTGCTCACGCTTGCCTCATAACATGTGAAGATGGCTTCCTCCTTATGGGTCAGCGTGCGTTCCACCTAGTGCGCATGACCGGAAGTGACGTATCTGACGTATGACGTCATATTGCATCATATATTTGACATTTATGTCTTTTTCCAAACAGGCCTGAGGCTTACTGTTCCCCTCTTCACGCTTATTGTGCTTACTGCATTTCATACATGTGATATACGTATATCCATAGTATAATTTTTGGATTCCCTGTTTGGGATTCACCATTATGATATTGGTGTAAATTCATTATTCAATATTATGGTATACCTATGGTATAATTTTTGGATACACCTCTTTAGGGAAGTGTTTACCTATGTGTTTGTACTACAGAGATATTAGACTCTTGCTGTCACTTTTTCTGTTGCACATACATTTAGACCGGTCTTGATGTCATTTTATATGGTTTTAGGTCTGTGTGTTATTGTCTCATACTGAGGTGATGGTAAAACCAGGGCGAATGCCCATATGTCATATTTATATCTGTGTAATAAAGCATAATTTTTGGAAAATTTTCTGAGTGTCACGGTCTGTTCATAATGTAGCCGCTTTTCTGTGAATCTCTTTTCACAAACCCCCCTTTTTTGAAGGCCCCATGAGATGCCCCTGGTACCTTTTTCATAGGCTTTTTGAGTTTGGGCAAGGACACAGGGGCCCCATGAGTTGTCAGTCCGCCCCTGCAAACATGTGCTTGCCCGTCATTGGTTTTATGTAAATTGGGATGCTGAATTTAAAAAGGTGTGAGAAACTTAGTGAAGGCTTAACCACTTCCTGTCTGGCCCATGTAGAAAACGCTGAAGAAGCGGATGGACATTTCTAAACGTCTTCCCCGCATCCATTGCCTGTGTATGCTCCCTGGGAGCATGCGGCACCTCAATCAAACACAGATTGCTGTACGGAACCTCTGTGTGAGGTCCCGATTCATGTGATCTCCGATTGGCCAATCAGTGATCACATGAATAGTAGTAAACAAGATGTCACTTCCTAACATCATTGATTACTACTTGTGAAATCTGTGAATGATCACAGAGATCACATGGTACAAGGCTATTCACAACAGCCTTGTACCATGTGACAAGCTGTGACCAATCACAGCTCTCACAGCATTTCTCAATGGCTGCAGGAATACAGCCAGAGAGAAGGAGAAAACGATTGCTTTTACAGCCTTTATGGGTGTAAAAGCAATCAGTGGAAAAAAATAAATAAATCATCATCCCCCACAAGTAGTACAGTGTCACTATGGTGACACTGTACTGCTAGGGTGACAGTATTTTAAAAAAAAAAAATATTATAATATAAAAAAAAAAAATAAAAATGTAAAAAAAGTTTTTGAAAAATTATACGTTTTGGTTATAAACTAACTTGGGAAATTTTTTTGTGCTAAAAAGATAGATGAATACATTTTGGCCAAGATTTATGAAGAAAGATCATTTATTTGCACAATTTTATAAGAAACACTTTTTTTTCAAAATGTTTGGACTTTTTCATTTATATAGCAAAAAAAGTTCCCAGTGGCGAATAAATACCACCAAAATAAAGTTTTATCTGTCTCAAAAAAATGCTAAAAAATTCATATGGGTACAGTGTTGCATGACCGCGCAATTGTCATTCAAAGTGTGATAGCACTGAAAGCTGAAAAGGGGGTGAAAGTATCTGGACTTGAAGTGGTTAAAGAATAAATAAACACAACATATCTCATATTCCTGATATGTGCCTGCTGTACCATATATGAAAAACTATCCTGTTCCCTTTGTATTGCTTCCTTTGTGTGAAATCCCTGGTGTTCCTCCCAGTCCCTCTGCTTTCCTATTAAAAACTGACCACAATAGGCAGGAGTGCACAGTACAGTCAAGTTCTCCAGCTGTGCTCTTCCCCAATGATCAGCCATAATCTGGCATGCCCCCCCACACAGCCATTCACTGGGAAGGTCAGTGTGCTGTTTCTCCTCCTCCTGCTTTTATACAGCTGCGAATAGAGGGAATGTGATAACGTATTAAAAAAAATGGGGGGAAATTGTTTGTTTTTTTCTTATATCTATATACAAATGTTTTGTCTTTCATTTCTATTTTAAACTGAATGGGTTGTTTTACATGGTGAGGGTTTATGTATACATTAAAAGAGAACACAGAACCAAGCCCAATACTCTTGTCACAAGTTCCCAGAGCCATACTGGTTCAGGGCTTAGAATTCTGGGTGAACCTCTCACGTTTACAATAAACAAGGTCTACATTCAAGGAAGGCACACAACAGACATCAACTCTTCGGAATGGCAGCAGAAATGTCTCTACAGAGGGACACCATGGCCTCCTGGTCCTCCTTCCTCTTCTTTCGGGGGCTCTTTATTTTCGAGCTTGAACTGTCCTTGCCGGCTCCTTTACAAACCATTTTCACATAAGTGTTAAACATAACAGGTGATTTCGCTCCCAGCCACATATCGCCGATGTACAGAGATGCCAAGAAACTGGCGGCAGCTGTAGGAGGAATAATGAGATATCAGATTATTAAAAGATTCTAGAAATGTACAATCTGTTTTATATGGTTTATATATAACTTTCATCAACATGGCATGACAGCCCCTTCTTCTAAAACAAATATGCAGACAGATGTTTCGATGTGCGCTTTTTATATATGCTTTGATCACTTCTATGACCTCCACTGAACAGTCATATAAAAATGTCTGAATACTGCAGTTCAAATTATATACCGTGCTTTAAAAAAGTATTCATACCCCTTGAAATTTTCCACATTTTGTCATGTGCAGTGTTAGTTTTCCACCACACATAGCATTTTGCTTTTAGACCAAAAAGTTCAAATTTGGTCTCATCTGACCAGAGCACCTTCTTCCACGTTTGCTGTGTCCCCCACATGACTTCTCGCAAACTACAAACGGGACTTCTTATGGCTTTCTTTCAACAATGGCTTTCTTCTTGCCACTCTTCCATAAAGGCCAGATTTGTGGAGTGCACGACTAATAGTTGTCCTGTGGACAGATTCTTCCACCTGAGCTGTGGATCTCTGCAGCTCCTCCAGAGTTACCATGGGCCTCTTGGCTGCTTCTCTGATTAATGCTCTCCTTTCCCGGCCTGGCAGTTTAGTGCCATACACTTTCCCTTTTTGGATGATGGATTGAACAGTGCTCTGTGAGATGTTCAAAGCTTGGGATATTATTTAATAACCTAACCCTGCTGTAAACTTATCCACAACTTGATCCCTGACCTGTCTGGTGTGTTCCTTGGCCTTCATGATGCTGTTTGTTCACTAATGTTCTCTACCAACCTCTGAGGGCTTCACAGAACAGCTGTTTTTATACTGAGATTAAAATTACACACAGCTGGACTCTATTTACTAATTAGGTGACTTCTGAAGACAATTGGTTCCACTAGATTTTAGTTAGGGGTATCAGAGTAAAGGGGGCTGAATATAAATGCATGCCACACTTTTCAGATATTTGTTTGTAAAAAAAAACTTGAAAACCATTTGTCACTTTCCTTCCATTTCACAACCACAAAGTGGTTGGTCTATCACATAAAATTTCAATAACATACATTTGTGTTTTTCGTTGTAACATGACAAAATGTGGAAAATTTCAAGGGATATGAATACTTTTTCAAGGCACTGTAACTGCATATTATCATGTAGATCTGCAAATTTTAATGCATTACTGATTTGAAATAAAAAAAAAAAAAGTTTTCACGGACACAATACATACAACAGGCTCCAGTCAAAACTGAAAAAGTATTGTAACACATAAAGGGAGAACAGCTGACCAGCTCAAGGCTTCTGTTTTTGTACAGACATTGCTGTAGCATACCACTCAATGCAAATTAAAGTGGTTCCAAAGCCTAAATATTTTTTACCTTAATACATTCCTTGATTTAAGGTAAAAAATATTTAGGCAGTGGTGTACCCCCTTACCCCCTTTTTACTTACCTGAGCCCTCATTTGATCCAGAGCTGTGCACATCTGCAGCTCTTCACTCCCTGGCCTCACAGGCTTTGCTGAGGCCGCAAAAACCATTGGCACCTGCTGCTGTCAATCAAAGCCAGTGACAAAGGAGTGGGACGAGTCAATGGACACAGACACTAGTGCTTGGGAGCCATCCCGCACAAATGCCCCCATAGAATGTGGTTTTCTATGGGGGCACTCACTGGAGGGAAGGAAACAGAAGCGCAGGTGGGGGACATGAGAAGAGGAGGTTCAGAGCTGCTCTGGGCAATTCCATCAGGTGAGTATTAACCCGTTATTTAAAAAAAAAAAAAAAAAAAAAAAAAAAAAAAAGCATGTTCAATAACTAACTCTGTCTGGTGGTCTGGGAATGCCTTTCCTTTCTCTTACCTGTTCATAGTGCAGGAAAAGGTACTCCAAAACACACCCCTCCTTGTTTTGATGATGTTCCAAAATGTCAACACTTTATCACTGCCATCAACCAGGTGGCTGCCTGTCTGCAATATTTTGAGTCACAGACCAGGCACAATCATAGAGCCCGTGTAGTCAGAACACCGAAATTATTTTTATTATTATTTTAATTAATAATTATTAATTTAAAATTATTAATTAAAAAATTAAAAAATTATTCATTAATAATTTTTTTTTTTTCTAGGTCAGTAGCTGAAAATGTACTAAAGCCATCAGTATGACAGCTAGGCAACTAACATTTGTATCTTTATTTTAAAAAAAAAACAAAAGCTGTGTTTGTACACACAGTGAAGGAGAGCACTTTCATTGCTATACAACCCACACTTTGGGAAACACTCACATTAAAGGACAAGCTTACATTTTGAACATGTTACACCCATACTTAGGGTGTAACATGTTCCGCAGCCCCCCCTTCCCTCCAAGAGACAGTGGGTAGGGTTCTTCTTCCCCGCAACTGATGTCTCATTTGAAATTAGTGCTGCTGTCATTCATTTACAGGGATCTGTGAATAAACTACAAGTCCCATCTGTCACTGCAGCAGAAGGACTTTTAGCTTCAATGGCCTATAAGTGGACTGATCAGTCCATTTGCACTCCCTCCAGCTTTCTAACTGAAAACCCGCACAGAGGTAAGGGCAGAGATATGGAGGGAGAGTGTGCTGCAGAATGACATTGCACCCATCCCAGTGTTAAAAAAATAATACACTTTTTTTTTACCTGTAACTCTTTTTGTTTAAGGTGAAGCCTTTAAAGCCGCTCTCTTTTTTCTTTTATTTCAATAATTAAGTGCCTGGGCTTTTTAAGAATAAAATAAAGCAGCTCTTGCTGCTATACCCATCTTGTCCCCAGTGTTGTCCTCCACAGAAATGCTGCTGCTCCACTGCTGGTCCTCTTCCAGGTTGAATGATGGCCTGTGAGCCTACATGGACACACCCTGGGGAGCATCACCACCTCAGCCTGGGCTCATAGTTCAATACTAAGGAAAGTAGCACTGATATTATGACATCAGCATCATTCTCTCTGCAATATTGAAAACTGCCTACGGTCAGTACAGAGAAAAGAGGATGTCGTGCCACCTGCCAAAAGACCCACCTGGAAAAAGGTATGCATGAAGGAAATTTAAAAAAAAAAAACAGGTGTGGAAGGCCTTCTCAAATAAGTGAAGTATTGCTTTAACCACCTGCCAACCGCCTCCCATAGGAGAATGGCTGCAGAGTGGCTCCCCTCTGCTGGATCACGTACGTCCGGGTAGAGGGCGCTCCGGCTGTGCCATGATTAGTCGCAGCACAAGCCGATCAGTGGGTGCCGGCCAACGACTGATTACCAGCAACCGCTGATCGGCAAGGAGAAAGATAGGGCAGAGCTCTGTCAATGTTAACAATTCAGAGCTCTGTCCTGTCAGCGGGGGTGTGCCGGTTGTTTCTCTGCAAAGCAGGGAAATAAAAACCGGCACATCCCTTAGTGAAAGCACCTCACGATACCATATATATATATAAATATACACACACATATATGCACACACAGATAGATTGATTATAGAGAGAGAGATAGATCTATATATGTTAGCTAGTGTCATTAGTACAGTGACAGTGTATATTTTTAGCACTGATTACTGTAATAGTGTCACTGGCTCCCACAGAGTGTCAGATTGCCCGCAATACTATTGCAGTCCCACTATAATTCGCTGATTGGCGCCATTACCAGTAAAAAATAAATAAATCTTGTATATATACTCACACACAACAGTTTGTAGACGCTATGACCTTCGTGCAAACCAATCAATATACACTTATTGAGATTTTAGTTTTACCAATATGTAGCAGAATACATATTGGCCTAAATTTATGAAGAAACTAGAGTTTTGGGCATTTTGTATTGGATATGTTTTATAGCAAAAAAAAGTAAAAAAAATTGTTTGTTTTTTTAAATTTGGTCTTTAATTTTTTACACAAAAATTATACTCAGTAGTGATCAAACACCACCAAAAAACAGCTGTATTTGTGTGAAAAAAATGATATAAATTTCATTTGCGTACAGCGTTGCATGACCATGCAATCGTCAGTTTAAATAACGCAGTACCAAAAAAGCAAAAAAAATGGCCTGGTCATGAAGGGGGGTAAATCTTCTGGAGGTGACGTGGTTAACCCTTTGAGGACCGTAAGGTTTTGGAACGCCAAAAGAATCAATTTTTTTTGTTTTTAAAGTTCGTACACTTCAGTTGCTGTAACTAAGCCATTTCATGAAATAATTGACAAAAAGCTAGATCCATTTGTTGTTTGTTGATAAGAACTAATATTTTGACTCAAACCATAAAAAAAAAAAAAAAAAGAGTTTTAAGTTCTTAATCAGATGATACACGCAATTACAAACATGGGACAAATACGTCCCTTGGTCCTCAAAGGGTTAAGCAACATGCCAAGGAGCAGGGATCTTCTAATAGTTAGCCAAAACATATTCTAAAGTAATGCATCCTATTACCTACCTTTCTGTGAGTCATTTGAATGGTCGCCAGAGAGCAGACAGAGATCCTTCACAGCTTGAGAAGTGTCACCGTTCTCATTTTGAGCCTCAATGAGGTTGATCATGACCCGGTTAGCTATACTCAGCAGTTCTAGGCCAGAATCCGGGTCACTGCAGATTCTGTAGTATAGTTTATAGAGGGTACTTTGCCATACACCATCTCTTAGCAGCTCCTGCACCACCCGGGAGTGGGGTATGATGCAGCTCTTCAGCCAGTTAAGAGATTGTTTGAGATCACACGTGTTTAGTAAAACTTGACCTTCTACTTTTATTATCCACTTGGCTACCAGACAGGCAGTAGCGCACACTAGCGCACCACTATTTGTTCTCTTTTCTGGCATTGCATCCTCTGCGGTGGCCCCTTTTTCCTCATTTGGATCTTCTCCTGTCTCTTGGGTAGGGTTGTAGGGATGGTTTGGTAAATTGGGTTTCCAGTACATCAATATAGATTTGACATAAGTCTTGGACTCCTCTAGATGGGACGTATGCTGCTGTTCCAGGATTTCCTGCTGTGCAGCCTCAACTCTCTTCCTTAGATGCCTAGGGACTGGCTGTCTGAATTTCTCTTTAATGGTACCTGAGAAATAGATAAAAAAATAAAGAATTACTTGCAGCAAACTTTTCAAAATGAGTTTTTCCTCAATTTACTGTCCTGGCTTAAAGCCCACAAGCCTCTATGCCATCTCTGGATTTCCTCTACCATCTGAGCACTGGTTCTCCAAAATGCCCAAATAATGAGGTAGAAACCAATAATGAAAAGAGCAGCAAACCTAAATGCCATCAACAACCACAGAAATATAGATGACCTTCCCACCCACAACTCCTCTCATGCCACCCAAACATTATAGCAACTTAAGTAGGTTAGATTGTGATAGGCTGCCACTCAGATCCTCACTGCAAAACCAATTACACCCACAACATGATATACTTTCAGTTGCCACATAAAAACACACAAGACTTACAGTGATTGTAAACCTCTGGCATGAAATATGAACAAAGTACATCCCTCTATATTGATTACTTGTCTCAATCTCAATGGCACTAAGTGCCATTTCTGTCTGCTGCTTCATCCCTCTGCTAACAGCATGAATCACTTCTGACAAATTTTCCTGACACCAAGAGGAAAAAGGTGACAGGAGAGAAACCTCCAGCCCACAGCCTGTGATTAACAGCCTCAGCTCTTTTTCTATGTACTCTGTGAAAGGGGGTGTGTCCCTTCCCTCCAATCAGTTCTCAGAGCTCTCCTCACTGTGATCTGCAGAGTGTAACTTCAACTCCCCAGCACATGGTTTCTGAAAGCTCAGACAAGCTGTATAAATTATGCACTTTGAACAGACGTAGAGAAGAGAAGACTGCAGATAAACAGTTGCTTTGAAAATTAGAAATTAATTAACCACTCCAATGCTGGGCAGTTTCACCCCCTTTCTGCCCAGGCCAATTTTTTTCAGACAGATAAGTTTTTTTTGGTTGGTATTTAACCGTTTCAATACCGTGCAATTTTACACCTTCCTGCCCAGGCCATTTTTCAGGTTTCAGCGCTCTCACACTTTGAATGACAATTGTGCGGTCATACAACATTGTACCCAAACTAAAATTTTATTATTTTCTTCACTCACACAACTAGAGCTTCTTCTAGTTTCTTTTGGTGGTATTTAATCACAGCTGGGGTTTTTATTTTTTTGCTAAATTAACAAAAAAAGACCAAAAATTTTGAAAAAAACCCACATTTTTCTTTGTTTCTGGTATAAAAGTTTACAAATAAATAATTGTTTATCTGCTACATGTCTTTGGTGAAAATAACCCAAATTAGGATGTATTATTTAGTTTGTAGGAAAGTTATAGAGTTCACAAACTATGGTATAGATCTGATTATTAATCAATCCTGAAGTATTGACAGCCAATCTCATTTCTTGAGGTCCAGGAATGTCAGATCAGTACAGATATCCCCCAAATGACCCCTTTTTGCACAGTAGACAGTCCGACGTACTTCATAAGAGGCATGGCGAGTTTTTTGAAGTTGTATTTTTTTGTCATAATTTTTCGGAAAATGAAAAAAATAAAATTATTTTCACTATTTTTTTTTTTTACATACTGTCACCAGTGCAGTACAGCGTCATCATATAACTGGCATGGCGGTGAACAGGGACACTGACTGGTGACAGTATGAAAAAAAAAAATTTTTTTTTTTTTTATTATATTTAATTTTTTATTACATTTTTTTAAAGATTTTTTTTCATATTTTACTATGACCAAAGTAGTACAATGTTACCATAGTAACATTGTACTACTTTGGGGAAGTGATCAGTATTTTTTTTTTTTTTTTTACACAATTTGCTTATAGCAAAGAATTACTTTGCTATAAGCAAGCATTTACCTGAATGAAATCGATTCATTCAGTTTTGTTTTTTTTTTTTTTTGTGCTTAGCTGTGATCTGGTCACAGCTAATCACATGACATGTGCATGTGATTAGCTGTGACCATTCACAGCTAGGCACTAGTATACAATGGATGGCATCATGAATGAAGCCATCCATTGTATACAACTGTCATGTGACCTGCTGTGATTGGTCACAGCAGGTCACATGGTACCAGCAATGGGAGCCGGTACTCAGATCTCTCATCGGCCGTGTCCGAGGTGCACGGCCGGTGACAGATCGCACTGCTGCGCCGCTCTGCATTAGCGCAAACTGCGCATGTGCGGGAGCACGCCAAATGGCGTGCACCCGGAGTGCAGAGACACCTTTGAAGCCGCCAAACGGCCATTGGCCGGGCGGCTAATGGTTCATTTCCACTGGGTTTTTTTTATGTTTTGCTAAATAAAAGCTCCAAGGAGCAGGGCCCTCCTATCCCTCTTGTATTGAACTGTATTGTTGCTGTATTGTCTCCAGTTATATTGTAAAGCGCTGAGCAAACTGTTGGCGCTATATAAATCCTGTATAATAATAATAAAAGAAGAAAGACCTGAAAATTTTGTAGGGAAAAAAAACAAAAACCTTTTCGTTTCGGTTATAAAATTTAGCAAATACATTTTTCTTCTTTACTGATGTGTGCTGATGAGGCTGCACTGATGGGCACTAATGAGGTGGCACTAATAAGCACTGATAAGCTGCAGTGATGGCCACTGATCATCAGTGTAAACAAATCACAGACAGCCTTGCCAGGTATCGGCTGTCTCTTCCTCACACAGACACAGCGTGTGAGCAAAAGACTGCCAATAACCGTCAAGACAGTTTACGTGTGATCAGATGTGACTGGACACAGCAGATCACATGGCCGCTGTGAATGGCACTTTACTGCGATCTATAATCAGCTGTGACACAGCAGTCACAGAGCACGCCCAATGTGCACCCTAGAGGTACGGGTGCGTTCTGAGAGGACAGCTATAGGCGCCCTTCCAGAACAAACAAACTGGTCTGAAGCCATTTTTCGGCTATAGAGTGGTATTAAAGTGGTTTAATAGAGTTTTCAGTTTGTGGTGCAGATACAGTTAAGTTCTGCTTTAAAGCAAATTATTTTTAAAGTAGAATTTTTTTAGCAGTAAACAGTCCCTGAAACTTATATTACAATTTTGGCAACCATGTTAAAAGGATAAAAAACAAAATAGCAATTAGAAAAGAGGAAAGCATGAAAATTCAGTGAAATGTAAAACTGTCTCCAGCAGTGAAAGATTCCCAGACAGATTTACTGAAAATAGAGCCAATCTTTTTTTAGCTGATTATTTATGGCACTTAAACAGAACATGAAGAAACACATTTAAAGTTTTCTGTTTTTAATTGCTGAATAAATCAATTCAGAAACAATCTTCAGTGTCACTCCACATCCTGTTCACAGCACATGTCCCTCCACATATAGCTAAACCATCTATATTTGGAGCACTAGAGTATAATTTCATCTTACATAATGGAACACACAAACTCCTTACTGCTAGGGTTGTCCGGTTTCAACCATTCAAGACCTCACCCACTACTCCAGGGACAAGGAACCTTGGCATCAATGAGATAGCTATGATGAGACCCAAACCATCCCTTAATGGTAGTTTGTAAAAGAGAACGGCTCATTGCTGGTCTTTAGCAGGAATGGTAATATTCAGCATTACAGCAGAATTTCAATCTAAACCCAACTACTCTTAAAAATGCTCTCTCCCCTCCCTCAATACCTATGCGGATTAACCTGTGCAAGATTTGTATCTATTTGTACCTGCTCTGGTCCGGTCGCATGATCTGGCTGTTGCTGTAGGGGAGACGAGGGACAACCCGACAAAGGATGGGCCACGTGATCTGGCTCCCCTATCTCAGTCAGCAGCAATTGCAGGGGAGAAATGGGACCACCAACAAAGGGTGAGCCATGGGAGCCTATGGGAGACTTCATTGCTACCAGGCATTCCCAGTCATCAAGCTCTCTCTACTCTCCCATGCAGCCACCACAGACTGACATAGGGGATCATATGACTGGAGCAGGCTGAAAATAGGTAAGTATATACATGTTCCTTACACAGGTATGTCAACATAGGTATTAAAGGAGGAGGGGATTTAATTAGAGCATAGGAGGTAGTTTAGAAGCGTTGGTGAAGTAATAAGGATAAATATAGTAAGGAGATTTGGGAAAAGATTAGGAGGTTGTAGTTAAGGTGGGAGGGAAATGGGTGGGGGGGTGTGGAGGAGGGAAAGGGGTGGGGGGGTGGGGGAGGGAGGGAAAGGGGTGGGGGGGTGGGGAGGAGGGAAAGGGGTGGGGGGGGGTGGGGAGGAGGGAAAGGGGTGGAGGGGGGGGGGGGGGGTGGGAAGAAATTGTAATTTATTTTTTTTAAAAAAAGGTACTTTTTTGGAAATGTATTGTGTTTTAATAATGTTTGTAAAATAAACCAAATAAAAATATAAATAAAAAAATAAAAAAAATAAAAAAAAAAGGAGGAGGGGACATTTTTAAAGCAACACAATGCCTCCTCACGCCTGTCAAATGCTCTCTGAAAACCGATCTACTGTGGATTAGCCATGCAAATAAGCACAGGCTTGTGATGATGAAATACAGCGCATCCAGAAAGTATTCACAGCGTTTAACTTTTGCCACATTTTGTTATGTTACAGCCTTATTCCAAAATGGATTAAATTCATTTTTTTCCCTCAACATTCTACAAACAATACATCATAATGACAAAGTGAAAGATGAACGGATGTCTCTGTACATTGCTACATTCATCTTTCCTTTGATCCTGACTAGTCTCCCAGTTCCTGCTGCTGAAAAACATCCCCATAGCATGATCCTGCCACCACCATGCTTCACTGTAGGGATGGTATTGGCCATGTGGTGAACGGTGCCTGGTTTCCTGGCAGATATGACGCTTGGTATTCAGGCCAAAAAGTTCAAATCTTTGTTTCATCAGACCGGAGAGTTTTGTTTCTCATGGTCTGAGAGTCCCTCAGGTGCCTTTTGGCAAACTCCAGGTGGGCTGCCATTTGCCTTTTACTGAGGAGTGGCTTCCGTTTGGCCACTCTATCATACAGGCCTGATTGGTGGAGTGCTGCAAAGATGGTTGTTCTTCCGGAAGGTTCTGAACTCTCCACAGAGAAACGTTGGAGCTCTTCCAGAGTGATCATCGGGTAGTTGGTTACCTCCCTGGCTAAGGCCCTTCTCCCTCGATCGCTCATTTTGGCCGGGTGGCCCACTCTAGAGAGATTCCTGGTGGTTCCAAACTTCTTCCATTTACAGACGATGGAGGCCACTGTGCTCATTGGGACCTTCAATGCTGCAGAAATTTTTCTGTACCCTTCCCCAGATCTGTGTCTTGATACAATCCTGTCTCAGAGGTCTACGGACAATTCCTTGGACTTCATGGCTTGGTTTGTGCTCTGACATGCACTGTTAACTTTGGGACATTTGTATAGACAGGTTTATGCCTTTCCTAATCATATCCAATCAACTGAATTTCCCACAGGTGGACTCCAATCAAGTTGTGGAAACATCTCAAGGATGATCAGTGGGAACAGGATGCACCAGAGCACAATTTTGAGTGTCATGGCAAAGGCTGTGAATACTTATGTACATGTGTTTTTTTTTTTTTTTAAATTTTAATAAATTGCAAAAATGTCAAAACAAACTTCTTTTACGTTGTCATTATGGGGTATTGTTTGTAGAATGTTGAAAAAAAAAATTAATTTAATCCATTTTGGAAAAGGGTGTAACATAACAAAATGTGGCAAAAGTTAAGCGCTGGGAATACTTTCTGGATGTACTGTAAGTTTGAGATGCTTCTGAGATCATTCAGAATGTATGCCACCCATCTTCCCTCATCAATACCACTCATAATACGTTAAACTTACCTGCAGCTCCAACAACTATTACTCTATCTACAATGTATTAGAATGTATAAGCAAGACAAAATAGCAAGGATAAAAAGGAAGATATAAAATGGCCAGTCACTTACTTATGAGTTCTTTGACTTTGTACTCTTTGGCCAGGGAGCAGATTCTCTCCTGCAGATCAAGGTCTTTCTCGATGGTGCTCCACTTGTGCAGCAGGAGCAGAGCATTCTTACTTGAAAACGCTTGTTCATTAACTGCAAACCTGCCCATTTTCTTAAAGGCTTCCAACACCCGTGAACGGTACTGCAAAATGGAGCTCAAGGTATGGAAATACTGGCGGAGATGGAGGCCATCTAAATTTGTTCTGTGGTGAAAGAAAATAAAAACAAAAAGATACAGTGTCACAATGCTCCTTGTGCTTCTAATTGACCTCAAATATAAAACAAGCATGCAAATGGGGCTCAATGAACAAGAAATGGCCCAATTTCTTTTATGTTCATAAAAAGATAACCTCAAGATTTTAAAAGCCCAACTCAGGCAAAAAACTTTTTTTCAATTTTTGTCCATGGGGACACTTCACCTCATTTGCTGTCCCTGAAAAAAAGCCAACAAGAGACAAAAAAAAGTGATAAGGGGATTGTGTCACCAAAATAGGAGACTTATAAAAGTTCTCTGTTGTATTAGAAAATGTGTTTTGCTACAATCTCTCTCTACTGGAGAGATGTTTCCTGAAAGGATGGGAGGGAAATTCTACCCAATGGGGACACAGACTGAAAAAAAAAAACACAAAAAAACAAAACGGGTGCAAAACTAAATAAACAGGTTTAAATTTTGGACTAAACAGAAACAAAGAGTGAACCATGCATTATAAAAAGACAGACAGTATCAACACCTCCAACAGCCCTGTACTGAATCAATGGTATGAACACAGAGGTGTTAAAGCTAACATCTTAATGATTTAGACTTTTCATAACTTTAAAAGGCCAGCTCTGGAAGCATGATGGTGTCCTTGCTTCACACCATCATAACATTCCCCCTGTGATGCCATTAAATGCTTCACACTTTTGGTGTGTGAAAAGAACTGTGAAAGAGAGGCCTCCCCAAACTCAAGGATGCCTACATATTCCTTCATCCTTCACCAGTCTAGACAATATCCTATATTATTTAAATAAAGGAATGCGCTAAAACCACAAACTATTCCTAATTTAGTGTAGAAACATTAGTGCAAAAGATATATATCTATTCTCTCAATTAATATAAAAAAAATCAAAATTATGTTCAAAACTATTTTTAGTGCATAAGTAATTTAAATAATTAAATTTGTGAATATATAAAAAAAAAATGTCCAATTCAGAATTTCTTCAAATGTCCAAACAAATCCTTTTCAAAATTCAGGTGCTCTCAAAGAAATTGTGCAAAAATCCACCACCAAAGTAAAGTTGGGTAACTCACCAGAGCTCCATGCTGATCAATCTCTAGATCAGCAAAAAACAATTTTTGCTCTGGGAGCAGATGCAATGAATCAACTTCTCAGGTGTGATGATCAATAGCTACACAATCATCCATAAGGTAGGTATCCACCACTCAATATAATGGTTCCAGGAGCATTATATCACTCTCTCTTTTTATATCTCTCCACCGCCCCTTGAAGACGTCATTCATGACGAAACTAGTAGGGCTTTCTGGATGCTGACGTCTGTGGAGAGGATTGAGTCACGAGCGCTGTAGTGAGTGTACGGGGGAACAGGAGACTGTTATACCATTTGCTGTTTTATGCTGTTATACTGGTGTCGGTGAAGACACCCTTTTTGTGAGTGTAAATCTTTATTAAATTGTTGGATACTTTTATAAAAAAACTGGCTGCACCATGATTTTCTCTTTCATTCCCAAACATGACCTCGGTGGAGAGATATAAAAAAAGAGAGTGATATAATGCTCCTGGAACCACTATATTGAGTGGTGGATACCTACCTTATGGATGATTGTGTAGCTATTGATCATCACACCTGAGAAGTTGATTTATTGCATCTGCTCCCAGAGCAAAAAGCGTTTTTTGCTGATCTAGAGATTGATCAGCATGGAGCTCTGGTGAGTTACCCAACTTTACTTTGGTGGTGGATTTTGGCACAATTTCTTTGAGAGCACCTGAATTTGAAAAAGGATTTGTTTGGACATTTGAAGAAATTCTGAATTGGACATTTTTTTATATATTCACAAATTTAATTATTTAAATTACTTATGCACTAAAAAATAGTTTTGCACATAATTTTGATATTTTTTTGATATTAATTGAGAATAGATATATATATATATATCTTTTGCACTAATGTTTCTACACTAAATTAGGAATAGTTTGTGGTTTTAGCGCATTCCTTTAAGTTATAGCACTAAGAAATTTATTTGTTTTTTTTTGAGGTGGAATTGCTGCTTTAAAGTATTAAGGGTGTGGCGCTTTTATTACACTTTTAATATCCTATATTATTATTTTCAAATGAAACAAAAGTTTCGAACTTGTTATCTACAGCCTATGTAAGTGAGGCTGTAAGAACTACAAGCTGATAGGTATTTGTTAATGCCATATGAAACCATGAAGTTGCCCACCTTCGCTCCTGAGCATGAAGCCTACTAAAAGCTACAAAAGGTTGTTCAAAAACCACCAAGTTTGACTGCCGGCTTGTGATAACCATTCAGGTTAGGTCCGAGGCTAAACTGCTGCAAGCAGAGGCAGGAGTAAGGCTGAGTCACCTGTCCATCATCATGCAGCACCAATATAAATGCTAGTGGTCAGTGATGGTATGCATCCTATGAGAATGAAATCTTCTATCCAACAGTTCTTTAATTAGGAATACATTTGTATGGGAATTTATCTACAAGTACAGTAGATATCCCCTTTAAAGCAGTAGTAAACCGCAGCCTTTAAAAAAAAAAAAAAACAAGCTTTCAAGGAAACTGCGTATGTGATGCTAGTATGCATCACATACGGGATTATTATGAAATACTTACCTTAGAACGAAGCCCTCTGACGGAATGCTGTCAATGTTGACAGGGCTTCCATTTTCACTCGGTCTTCCTTCCGGGTTCGCTGGCATGGGCACAGGAGTCACAGTTTATGACACAGAGTCTCTCTTCAGAGCGCATGCGCTGGTGACATCACAAGCTGCATCCAGTGTAAACATCTCCTAAACACAGCAAGTTTAGGATATATTCACTGTACCTACAGGTAAGCCTTCTTATATAGGCTTACCTATAGGTACAAGTTCAAAAGTGGCATTTACTACCGCCTTAAGCACTTCAGCTCCAGAAGACTTATGATACGGCACTGCATTACTTTAATGGACAATCACCTCTCGAAGTTACTTTTTGCATTATAAACAAAAGAAAAAAAAAACATTTTAAAAAAAAATAGAAATAAAAATGATTTTCTACTATAAAACATATCCAATTAAAAGAAAAAAAAATTTAAAAATCCAATAAATTTAGGCCAAAATGTATTCTACTACATATTTTTGGTAAAAAAAAAAAAAAAATCCCAATTAGCGTATATTGATTAGTTTGCACAAAAGTTATAGTGTCTACAAACTATGGGACATGTACTGGAATTTTATTTATATACTAGTAATGGCGTCGATGAGCGACTTATAGTGGGTCTGTGATATTGCAGCGGACATTTTTACACTAACACTTTATGGGAACCAATGACACTAATACAGTGATCAGTGCTAAAAAAAAATATACACTGATCACTGTACTAATTGCACTGATTGGGAAGGGGTTAACATCTAGGGCGAATCAAAGGGTTAAGTGTGTGTCTAGGTATGTGCTTAATGTACAATAGGTGGTGTTGGTACAAGGGAAAAGTGATGGATCATGTTCCCAGCTCTGCTCTGACACACGATCGATCATTCCCCCCTATCTATGTAAACATAGGTAGAGCTCTGTTCTTCCTCCCTGCCTGACGATCGGGCCTGGGACTCGCAGATTGGCTTCTCCTGTGACAGTTAACAGCACAAACGATCTGCCAGTGGTGCATGCATGCCCCTGTGAGGTAGAAGTTCAAAATCACATATATTCATTCTGCTATAGGGTGATCCATAAATGGTTAATCTGCAGCAATATAAGAGGGGGAACAAGTTTGTTCATAAAATACTTTAATGACAAGGAAAGCCGTGAATGAGCAGATAAGGTGCAATGTATCCATTACACACTAAAGCTGGCCATAGATGGATCAAAATGCGGCTGGTTCAACAGATTTCTCTCGAATGGAACTGTTGGGAAATTTTAATTTGATTCGTATCTGCAGCCAATCGGCTGCAGTGCTGATCAGTGTATTCTGACAGAGGAGTACCTGCAGTCAGAATAGAATAGCACAGCGGAAAGGATTTCTCCATCCATGTATCCTTGTATGGGTGGGGAATCCCTGTCGGCTCACAGAAAAATAAAAGAAACTATCCATGTTTGACCAGGCTAAGGCATGGGTTGAAGGAAAGAAAATTGCTCAATTCCCCCATCAACATAAACAGCGCGAATCCCTCCCATAGTACTATTGTGTTCTGGCAGCAAGGAGCGCAGGCAACCTTCCCTGCCGGCACAATACCACGATCACTGGGCCGGTGGCTATAGCCACCATCAATGATCTGGCGAAAAAAAAAAAAAAAACCCAGACAGGCTGGTTGCACTGAAATCTATCTATAGAACAACTTTAGTGCAACCAGCCTGCCTGTACATGGATTGAAATTCACCTGGTTGAGCAGGAACCATCTATGGTTGACTTAACATGCGCCCTTCAACTAGTGTATACCTGGTCCCGGTGTTACTTTCCAAAGATCCCAGAAAATTAATTTGTGTCAACAGAGAAATTCCTCCTCTTCTCTCTTGCTCAAAAAAAAAAAAAACCTTTACTGTGGCTTGCAGAAATCAAGCATTTGAACATTAATGCAAAAAAAACTAGATGAAAATATGAAGCAAAGTGGAACAGTCATGTATTTGTCTCAAAAGACATTTTAAAGATGGTCAGAAGCTGAGAGCGGCTTACCTGATGTGTCTGAGCAGAACCATGGAAACCCCAAAGATCTCATTCACCAAATGGATGGGAAGGAGCTTTTCATGTTCTGCCAGTCCGTCTGGCTTTTTCTTCTCTTCTCTTGATTTGGTCTTCGCTTTGTTGCCCAAGTTGGTTAGCCATAAATTGGTCACTAATGTTATAACACTTCCTAGTGTTTTATTCTCAACGTACCTGAAGATTTAAAACGACTTTTTAACCAGATTTATTAGGCACCACTGAAGGACTTCATTAACGTTCTACCCTTTACAGTCACACATGATATTATTGGGAAGTCATGTATAGTTTCATTGCCCCACCATTTATTGTATGTGTATGTTTGGAAACCTTACCCTCCCTATACAATATTCACATAAAATAATTCTGGGTAAACTTGAAATGTAAAAAGACTTTGAACTAAAGATAGAGCTAGAAAGCAGAAACCACATATAGCACCTTTTATCTTTATGGTTGTAGTAAAGGTAATTAATGCACTGTGGATGCTTCACAAGTTTGCTATGCAAACCCTGAGTTTCTCAGTACTAGCATTTGTACACCCCACACATGGCAGTGCATAGGTCTGGTAATAGGTACTAATCACTGTTTTGTAGAAGGCAGAAGAGTGCATGTCCAAAATATGTTTTTGATGACATTCGAAATGCACTTGAAATAGTGTGTATTCATTACAATTACCACTGCAAGACTTGTTTTGAAAACTTGTAGCAGATACCTCCAAGTAAAACCAAAGTACCTTTTCTCCAGAATGTTCTGTATCCAGGACAGCAGGCTGTGGTCCCGTATGAGTTCATAAGCTGCTTTTGGCACTTTGGAGGCCTTTGTAAGAATTTCCAGAACCTTAACCTGTTACAAATCATAGGGTTGTCATCAGAACCAATATATAGAACTATACAAAAAATTAAATAACATAATAAATCTATGCAAAGATAGCAAATGGATGTGATAGGGATAGTCAAGGAGAGAGAAGTAACAGAAAAGGAGGAAATTAAAGAAAAAGAAAGACAAAATAAAGGGGGCCAAAATGTAATACATGGGAAAAGAAAGGTTAGTGCAAGGAAAAAAGACAACGGATGGAAAGGAAAAAAAAAAAAAATGTATAGAAATTATAGTGATTGAAGGGAAGTGATGGGGATGGAAGAAAAGGAGGGAGGGATGGAAGAAATGGTGGAGGGAGAAAAGCAAAATAAATGAAAGAGAATGAGATGGTAAGCAAAAGAAAGGGGATGAGAGGGGAGGGAAGAAGGAAAAGGTAGTGAGAAAGGCAGGAAAAGAGAAAATGGGACTGATAGAATAATCAAATGGAAAGTAAAATGAAAGGCAGGCAAGGAAGAGGAAGAAAACTGGAAGAGATGCGGAAGTAGAGGAGAGGAAAGAAAAAGTGATTTAAAATAATTATAAGGAAGGAAAAGGTTAAGGAAAAGAAGAGAAGAGAAGAAAAGTCACGTGAAAGGAAGGAGAAGAGCATGTGAAGAAAAGAAAGGACTAAAAAGGAAGGAGGTGAGAATGAGAATAGGAAGAAGCGAAAGAGAAGTGAAAGCTATAAGAAAAAGAGAAAAGAGAGAGAAAGAAGCAAAAGAGAGAAAGAAGAAAAAGAGAAAGAGAGAGAAAGAAGAATAAGAGAAAGAGAGAGAAAGAAGAAAAAAAGAGAAAAAGAGAAAAAGAAGAAAGAAAAGAAGAAAAAGAGAGAGAAAGAAGAAAAAAGAGAGAAAGAAGAAAAAGAGAGAGAAAGAAAGAAAAAGAGAGAGAAAGAAGAAAAAGAGAGAAAGAAGAAAAAAAGAGAGAAAGAAGAAAATGAGAGAGAGAGAAGAAGAAAATGAAAAAGAGAAGAAGAAAGAGAGAAAATGAGAAAAAAAAGAGAGAGGAGAAGAAAATGAGAAAAAAGAGAGAGAAAAAGATGAAAATGATAAAAAAAAAAAAGAGAGAAAGAAAATGAAAAAAAGAGAGAAAGTGAGAAAAGAGAAAAAGAGAGAAAGAAGAAAATGAGAAAAACAGAGAGAAGAGAAGAAAATGAGAAAAAAGAGAGAGAGAAAATGAGAAAAAAGAGAGAAGAAAATGAGAAAAAAGAGAGAAGAAAATGAGAAAAAAGAGAGAAGAAAATGAGAAAAAAGAGAGAAGAAAATGAGAAAAAAAGAGAGCGAGAATGAGAAAAGAGAGCCGAGGAATAGGAGAAAGGGAAGGGAAGAGAGGAAGGGAAGAGAGGGAAGGAAAGAGAGAGAAGGGAAGAGAGAGAAGGGAAGAGAGAGAAGGGAAAGAAGAGAGGAAACGAGAAGAAAGAATAGAAAACAAAAAAGGCAAGGGGAAAAGAAGGGCAAGAGGGGGCTAGGAAAAGCTAAAAGAGAGAAGTAAGAAGCAGATCAATATTGAGCTATGGGATAAATCATTAACATATGTACTAAATTTCAAAGTCGGATAACACATCTGAGATCTTACCTGAGATGTTTCATCACATAGGGGGCTGTTATAAAAAGCCATAATGACCATGAAAATCCTCTGGTAATCATAGAGCTCATAGCAATGCTTGTCCCTCATTCCATCACTTAGCAATCCTAGAATCCATTCACGCTCCACCTTGTGCTGTTTAAACACCATAAAGACGGTTACAATGTACTTGACTCGTGTGTCATAAGACATGCAACAATGACTAGCCACATACCTCTATGTCAAAACTGTAAAACAACCTATAGAAGTCAGGAACTTTCTTTAGGTCCAGGTACTCGTGGGACAGCAGGAAGCGGTTAACCTTTATGTACATGTGTTCCTCTGTTGTGGAAGACAAGAGAAGGGTTAAACTAAAAAGTAATTCATCCTTTCCATGTTTCCCTGTCAGCCCTCTACAGCAAATATATAAGAATGACATAAAAGTTTACCAGGTCTGAAGATCAGCTGGGCGGCTCTGGCACCATAGAGCGCCAGTAAGTATGTGAGCCGGAGATTCTCCTGCCGAATTCCATTCTTTATAACATCCAGCAGATACTGCAGCTGTGCAAGAAGAAACATTAACTGTGTTATAAACGTTAGTTATTGATACAAAGCTAGTGACAACCTGAGAAATATTTTCTAGGTACCTGAGACTTGTAGGTCATCTAAGTTTCTCATCCAGTGTGGCATATTGACTGCCCTTTAACCTAACAGATGTTTAACCAAAGCTATGTGGTTCCAAACACCAGGCCTGGTCATTTTGTCCCAGGATTTGAATGTGTTTATATTTTAGAGACCTTGTCACCAACCTAATATATTGCAGGAAAAAGCACAGAATATCAATCACTCTAAAAGCTTAAACTAGAGTGTTTATCCTTTTCATAAATTATTTATTTTTATTCACCCCTGAATTTTCTGGGAGAATCAATTGACTAGCACATCCCCTCCTTCCTTGCGCATCATAGCCCCTCTTCTGGGAGTGTCGAACTACTGTCTGTACTGGCCCAGCATCTCCATCTTCCTCCTCACCTCCTTACCAGGGGTGGACTGACCATTTGGAAACTCAGGCGCTGCCCGAGGGCCCGGGGTCAGTAGGGGGCCCCATGAGATGCCCCTGGTACCTTTTTTTATAGGCTTTTTTGAGTTTGGGCAAGGACACAGGGGCCCCATGATCCTCTATTGCCTGGGGGCCCCATGAGTTGTCAGTCCACCCCTGCTCCTTACATAACTTTTTATGTAGCTGCCGTTGAAAGAGTGAAGGAGAATGCTATAGAATGTCACTTGAGCAACAGTTCTGAGTCTGTTGGGGTTGCCAACATAACACCCACGATGGTGGTGCTAGGAGCAGTATCAAGGGTTTTGGATGTCTATAAAAGCCAGGCTTTTAAAGGTAAAATACCATTCAAAAGAAAAAAAAAAAAACCATTAAATGTATATATTAATCTTATGCAAAGATTTTTGTTGAAATGAATAGTCTGGTGACAGAGTCTACTTAAAGCCCAATTCAAAAGGCTTACACATTTTTATTGCCATGTAACCCCACCCCCTCCCCACTATTTGTTAAGCTGCCTATAGGGGAGTAATTTTTTTTGTTTAACCAACTGGCTGAATGAAAAAACTGACCTGATTCCCCCATCTACACACTCAATATGCATGGGGGAACCCTCCCCGCTGAGCTATTGTAGTCTGATAGAGGGGATACTTACCAGCTGTCAGAATACAATGTTCAGTGTTGCAGGCTATAGCCGGTGGCGCTGATCAAGTGGGGAAAATCCGACAGGGCAGAGGTACATAAGTTCATTGGTAGATTTGACTTCTGCAAAACCAGCCTGCCCACACATGGAGTGAGGTTTGGCCAGTCTCTGCTGAAATTTTGATCCATGTACAGCCAGCTTTAGGATTTGTGACTGAAAAGTTTGCTACTGGCTGCTGCTGTTTGCATTAAGCACTATGGTTCTTGGACTATTTATTAAATAGCTTGGGACAAGAGAAAGCATTTTAAAGTGGCTCTAAAGGCTCAAGGTTCTTTACCTTCATGTATTCTATGCACGGAAAAAAAAAAAACAAAAAAAAACCTTCTGTGTACAGCAGCCCCACACTTCACCCCAATCCTTACCTGAGCCCTCTCCGATCCAGCAATGTTCATGACAGTCTCTGCTGTCTGGGGACTCTTCCTCCTCATTGGCTGAGATAGCAGCCGGAGCCCATTGGCTCCCACTATTGTCAATCACAGCCAGTGAGCCAATGATGAGAAAACGGGGTTCAGGGCCCAGTCACGACCCTGTGAGTCTTATAGATGCACAGAGCAGCAGCTTGGTGACTAGCATGCAGCAGTGCCCCCAGGGCAAGCGGCTTTCCCTGGGGGCATGTACAAGAGAGAGAACCCAGGAGCATTGGCAGGAACCCAAAAAGAAGAGGATCACTGCACAGAGCAGGTAAGTATAGACATGTTTGTTATTTTAACCTCCCTAGCGGTATGATTATGTCCATATTTCTGTGCTGAAAGCGGTACATTTTTTTGCATGGAAATATGTATTTTTTTTATTGTAGATCTGTAATTTTTAGGAATAACTCACTGAAATCTGTCCAAACAAGAGTCTAGTAAACATCCCGGGTAGGATAAAACTTAAAACACAAAATCATAAATTATAATTTAATAATCATAAAAATAATAATATAATAATAATAAATTTCATTCAATAATATAATCAAACCAAAAACACTGAAATTTTAAATATAGCGCCAAGTTCGCACATCGCTGAGCAAAGTCGCAAATTGTTTTCAGTGTCTGATGACAAATTTCCCCATGAATCATTATCACTCAATTCTGCAAGTGGTTCTGATTTACTATCGCTGTTCTCTAGTCGGTCTAAAACCGCTTTTGACCTAAAGGGACGCTTTTTGGACGCCATGGACTTTTCTAAGTTCCCAGGCAGAAAGAACAGTCAAAATGCAGGCAGGGCACAGGACAAAGCACTCGGGACAAAATGTATGTGAAATGCTTTGATACAGGAATGTTTTACTATGTCAAATTCATTTCTAAGAAAATGACAGTTTCTAAAAATTTTTAAATTTGCCGCCATTCTGGCCCCTGTACGTCCCGACGCTCACAGGGACCGGAACACGGAAGCCAGATGCCAGCATCGGCCGGAGGAGATGGCCGGGGACACATCGCGGGAGCGAATAACAAGGTAAGCGCTGCAGGGAATCCCTGAGCAACGCCGCATGGTAAGCCCGAGTGTAGCTCGGGGTTACCACTTTTGGTACTGAAACTTTACCCCGAGCTACACTCAGGAATACCGCCAGGCAGGTTAAGGAAAAACCAAAAAAAAACACCCAAAGCTTTAGTGTCACTTTCACTACCCATTAAATTTCTTCCTCAATGCTGACCCCTGCCAACACCCTTTCATACGGTCTTTAGCTGTAATCTTCCTACAACTCCTGTTGACATGTGATTTGTCACTGCTATCTTGCAGCAATGCCGTTAATTCACAGGTAGAGGATCTTCCAACAGCACAAGTGGCAAAGATGTGCTGACAGGGAAGATGGACTGAGGGTCAAAATACTCCTGAAGAGAAAATATCTATCTTTCAGGATTATATGCTCAGATTATCAATCCTGAAGACCTATTCAGCAGTGTTGTGGATGAAATTACCTGAACAATAAAAGAAAGTGGCACAAACAGATATAGCTTTGTAAACATGACACTTAATAAAAATGAACAGGTGTTCTACAAACTCATCAAAAAGCAGTCTGAAAATGCCATACATCACCCATGCTGCCATCTGCTCACCTGCATCTTATCCCGAAAACGAGCCGCCTCCAAATGGGAGAGGAAGGACCCCAAGACGTAATTGGCAGCCGCTCGCATGCTGTAATCGTAACTACTGAGTGCTGCCAGGATCAGGCCCAAAGCATTGACCTCCACAAACTTCACACAATCCACAATCAGCTCTGCAGTAGACAACGAGGAACGATAAGTGACGAATCATACAGGCTATTGTTTGCTCATTACAAGTAAAGTTACCCCATAGTCTTCAGACAGATGCCAGATGTTAAAGAATAATCTCATCTACAAACATACTTCTAGTTTTTTTCTTTTTACATACAGCGTATTTTTTCATATGTTCAGCATCAAAAAAGTTAAAATATTTAAAAACTATATTACACATAAAAAATACAAGGGCAACCTGAAAATAATGCAAAAGTGGTAATAATTTTTTTTTTTTTTTTTTTAACACCACACACACGGAGCAGTGAATTGTCCCTGCCCCCCTCTCTGTCCTCATTGGCTGAATGGCTGTAATTGACAGAAGAGGGAGCCACTGCTGTCTCAGCCTATGAGGAAACAGAGACTCGGGACTCCATGGCTGTTGTGCACATCAATGGATCGCGATGGGCCCAAGGTAACTATTGAAAGGGCTGGGGGAATGCTGCACACAGAAGGTTTTTCTACCTTCATGCATAGAATGCATGAACGTAAAATCTTGAGCCTTTATTTTGAGTTCTTAATGGAGGAGGGGTGCAGGTTGTCTAACATCCACAAAAAGCTACAGAATGTATACACATGACATCATTCACAAGAGTCACCAATGACAAGACATTGCTGTTGTCAGTGGGATCATCTTTGTAAACCTGCTGTAGCCTTCTGTGGATGGCAGACAGCCTGCACCCCTCCTTTAAAAACTCAATGAGGACATGTTACTTTTGCTTGGAATCCATTATTTACCTGCAATAAAAAAAAAGAAGAGTTTCTATAGAGGTAGAGTTACTCTACCAACATCTGATATTTTCTAAGTTAATAAAGTTATGCCCACGGTCTTCGTATCTTCAGTGTAGTCCTTCACCGCTTTGTTCATCTGTTGAAGCACTTGAAAATACCTGCTACTTGGGGTTATGGAGGATCATTTGACCTCCTTCTTCCTAGGATGCAGTGTTTTGGCCTATGCGACCAAAATCTCACATGGGAGAGGGGGGAAAGTCATTTATCCAGTGTAAGCGCCAACACTGACCATAAACAGAGCTTTCCCAGGGATTAGAGTTAGTGATCCAACAGACAAACAAAGCAGTGCAACAGCATGGTGAATGTAAGTGGGAGACTTTCAAGAGAACCTGTCATGTTTCTTGGAAATGGCAAAGAGCAGATTCACTTTAACTAATATATTAACACAGCCTGCCACAAAGCATAAAGACAGTGCCTGGTTTTCTTATTGAATGTTTAGATGAGGTTAACACACTTTTTAATCAGGGTGTCAGAGGTACCCTATGATAAATATTTATTTGTATGCAAATAATTAAAAAAAACACAAAAAAAAAGTAACCTGACCAATAACCATTACCCATTTCTGTTATGTGCATGCTTATGTGAAAAGCTAACAACTATGACACTACACTTATTATGGGGGTACAATAGGCCACTGGACAAAACATTCCACCCTGCTGAGTGTATCTCAATAGCCCACAATACCCTCTGTTCATCTTCAGAGTCCAAGAAAAGTGCAGGTATAAGACAATGATCATCTAAGCTAAACAAGTACCTTTAGACAAAATCTATTATGTTGAGGCGAGAAAAAGGAAAAAAAAAAAAAAAAAAAAAAAAAAAAAAAAAAATGCAATACAGTCCTATCAAAGGCAAGATCTAAGAAAAACATTCAGTATGTGGACCTCCAATGCACAGCATAATTTACACTGGAGTGTCACAGGCACACTGTCATTCAAGGTTCTTCAAACAAAGTAGGAAAGCACAAGGACAGACTGAGTTATTGGACTGACTCACCCTCTCCGATCTGACGTCAAAAAGACACAGCAACCTTCTCAGAAAATAAATGCATTCATTATATGGAGAGAGTTGTGACAGAGGGACATCAATGGGAAGGCCAGCTGCACCCTTTAGCTACAAAATCCAACTGCAACCAAGCATGACCATTACATGCTGGTAACAGGATCTCCACCCTGTGTTTAAATTAATAGATACAGCATATATGTAACACTGCTATAAAGATTCTATTGATTAGTGTTAATAAAATTACAACCAGCAGCCAGCTATGATTTTCTAAAACCTGCAAAAACTTTCAAACAAGGCTTTCTTTTACGGGCTGTTCACAATGCCCACCAGCCCAAAATGCTGCAGTGTGACAGCTTTCTCCTGTAATGAGCCGAATTTCTGAATCATGTGCCTGGCTCTCTGGTGTAGCCAGCCGACTGTCACTCTTGGTCATGTGATTGGTTCCCTGCTGTAACCAGCTGATTGTCATTTCCTGATAACATGATTGTCCCCTACTTTGACCAGCCATTTTCGATGTAGCGATGTTGCAGGCAGGAGTGGCCACACATGGATCAAAAGTCTTTGCTGAACCAACTTAATTTTGATTCATCTATGGCCAGCTTTAAAGAGTGCTGAACATATAGCAGCCCACATAGTGTGGATCAGTTACCTGGTCTGAGCAGCTCACTGAAGAGAGGTAACAAGAAGCAGGGATCATAAAGTTTTCCGAGATCATCTATAGCCCGGTCTTCATACAATGTGTTCTTCCCGGCCTGTAATAAATATTTTTATGGGTAAATCAGTGATTCTGAACGCGTTCAATAACAAGGAATGTGAACCATTTTCAGTTATGGCTTTTAAAATGTATATCAAATTGCGTTAACTTGTTAAACAACTTTTTTCTGTGTATAGTTTGCAATTATATACTGTACATACCTGAGGGCAGCAATTTTTTGCTCATTAAAGATGTAGACTCTACTACCAGCTTTGCAGTGCTAGTTGTGCTTTACGGCTCCTTCTCACACAGAAAGTCTATGGGGAGATTTACTAAAACTGAAGCACTCACAATCTAGTACAGCTGTGCATTGTAGCCAATCTGCTTCTAACTTCAGCTTGTTCAATTAGGCCTTTTTCACACAGGTGATCCGTCAATGGATGGATGAAAAAACAGACAGCAATGCACCCCTTTGGGCAAAAGGATGAAAACAGATAATCATCCATTTACATCCAAATCTGTTCAGGTCTGCATTTTTTTTTTTTAATGGAACAAGTCTCTATTTTTGTTCCAGTTAAAAAAAAAAAAAAAAGAAGCGGACCTAAATGGATGTAAACGGACAAACAGTCCATTTTTTCATTAGTTGTTAGGAGCCAGCAGCCATTGGTGTCCTAACAACCAGTGTCTCATCACTGCTGTCAGCAGGGTATACCCGCTGACAGCAGAGTAAAAACAACAGAGCTGGAAAAAAAAAAAAAAAAAAAAAAGAATGCCGGACTGAACACTTGCTGGCTCCAAATGCAGTATGTGTATATAATATATGTACGCAAGTCTAAGTACATTCAGAAGCTAGGCATTATGCAAAGTCAGTGGGCAAATAAGCAGAACTCAACCTCAAAGCACATAGACTTGCTTACATATATTTATTACAAGTACGTACATAGCGCCATCAATTTACACAGCTATTACATACACACGCTGCATTTAGAGCCGGCAAGTGTTCTGTCCAGGAATACCCCTTTAACAGCAGAGATAAGTCACTGGTTAAGGACGCCTGCTGGCGGACAGAGAAAAAGGATGTAAAATTGTATGGAAAACTGATGTAAACTGAACTGAACTGAAAATTGATGTAAACTGAATCAGTTAAAATGTTTTTAAATGTGACTGAATGGATGAAGACCCCTAATCTTTGACAATAAAACCTGGAAGCTGATTGGTTTCTATGCAGAGGTGCACCAGATTTTGCACCATGCAGTTTTGATAAATAACCTCCTATGAGTCAGCAATCCCTGTGTAGCGGATGTCCTATCTCTACAGTTAAGCAGTTAGGCAGAGTAGTAGTAGTAGTAGTAGTAGATCTGGGGCGCTCAACCTCTTGAAAAACGAGGGCCACTTAACGGATTTGGTAACTGGTCTCGGGGCCACAATGAAATGAAGTAGTTCAGAATTTTTAATATTTTATTTTAAATAGCATAATTAACATTTACCTCCTGCAGCTGCTGAATGCCAGCAGTAGGAAGAGAAAGAGAAGCCGCATTTCAGCTGTTGCAGGAGGAAAATGGAGATGGCAAATGGTTCTTCTATATTCTGGCCCTCCTGTCCAAGTATAAAACAGCATGTGACAGGGAGGCCACACAGGCCCCCTGGAGTATGGGGTCGCCATTGCAACCCCTGATGCTACACCAGTGATGCCCCACCAGTACGAGTGTGTGGTAAAAGCACATCTCAATTAGGCCCCTTTCACACGAGCAGATTGATGGGGTCCGCCTGTTCATTTTTCAGGTAGACCTAATCAGTCCATCCATAGACTTCTATGGACTGGCAGGTGTCAGAGGACAATAGTTCACTGACACCTGCCAGCATCTGATCCTGTATGCCAAAAACAGACTCCGTTCCCCATCTGTCCAGCGGATCAGATGAAAATCGGGTGGAAGAGGATAGGTGGTCCGTTTATATCCGACCATCCCATTGAAATCAGCGGGCAGTACCTGTGTCCGCTCTGCAGCAGCAGAGCATACAGAGACCGGTCCTTCACCTGCTCAGCGGAGAGATCCCCCGATGAGCAGGCGGATCATGCTGATGGATCTGGCCTGTCTGAAAGGGGCCTTATGGGGCTTTTCTTCCCCCCGGAAACAGAAAATGTAAACAAGCCCTTACTGTCCTGAGCCCCCCCTCTAAGTCTGCTTTCACACTGATACGCTGCGGTTTACCCGCACCGTGAGTGCTGTGCGGGGCACCTGCTGCTTTCCTGCGGGTTATTTGCGCTTGGTCATAGACTGCTATTATATCTTGCGGGCGTGGTGCACTTTCTGAAAGTGCACTAAAACTCCTTCAGTCAGTTTTTGAGGGCCACATCAGAGGGCTCTGTGGGCCACAGGTTGAGCACTCCATTAGTAGATAACCCAACCTCTAGTGGCTAACCTCAGAATCTGAAAAAATCTGCCCTACACTTTTCACAATCAGATTCAGACACACCTTCAAAAATTGATTGTTCTGTCAATGTGATTGGGACTAGGAGTCTGCACAGAGCTTAAGGTCATGTTACAAACACCCCCTGCAGCACCATTTTCATCTTTGGTGAAGTACTTGTGCACACCAAGTCATGCTGTGTCTGCAGAATTTCTTATTATGGCACCAAGACAGATCAGGCGGTTATGGGAAAGGCTAAAGTCCCTTCACTATATACCTTTCACCTGGCATGCAGACTCTTTAATATAAAAGGATTATCCATAGTTTAAGTTGGGCATCGTGTCCGTTCAGTTCCAACAAATTGATGGCTACAAAACTTTCACAAACAACTATGTTTGAAAGAAACAAAGATCCCATTCAGATGTGAACTGCTAAGCTAACCTTTGTAAATAACCAAAAGCAGGAAAACTCCCCTCCTCTGCTAAATAGAACCTCTCTGATGCAGTTCAATCTCTTGTGCCCACGCTGCTCTCTGTGAAAGCCCAATCTAGGGGTCAGGCTTTCATCTGAACACATATATGCCAATTAAAAAGCCCGTGTTTGCTGAATCACTCTATGACTCAGGGACTGCTCAGACCACTTCGGTGCTAAAACTGAAAAGTGATGGGAATTTGCAAGCTGCATGGAAGTTTTTTTTTGTTTTTTATTTTACAGCTTTGAATCAGAGATTTTGAATAAAAAAAACCCCATACAGCCTTCCTGTAAACTTTTATTTCTGCAGCTGGTGTCATATCATGGTTTCTCTACCTAGAAAGTGTAAATATTTCTCTATGTGGTCTTTAACTGCCATTTGATTTGAGTTAAAGCGTTTAAAACAGATTAAAGATTGCAACCCTGACCCTCTTCAACTGCCTGAAACACGAGACTGCCTCTGGTTGTATAGGACTCTGTTTACTGTTTAGAGCAGGGGTGAGCAACTGTGGCCCTCCAGCTGTTGTAGAACTACAAGTCCCATGAAGCACTGCAAGATGACCGTTTCAAGCATGGCTCCCAGAGGCAGAAGCATGAAGAGACTTGTAGTTTTGCAACATCTGGAGGGCCGCAGTTGCCCAACCCTGGTTTAGAGAGACAACCGATGCACTGTTATCCTGGAATTGATGTCATACTATAACTCATTCCTCCACAGCAGGAGCAGACTGACAACTCATGGGGTCCCCGGGCAATAGGGGATCATGGGGCCCCTGTGTCCTTGTCCAAACTCAAAAAAGCCTATGAAAAATGTACCAGAAGCATCTCATGGGGCCCCTACTGACCCCGAGCCCTCGGGCAGTGCCCGAGTTTCCAAATGGTCAGTTCGCCCCTGCTCCACAGAGTTCTCTTCTGTTCTCCTTCAGTATCAGAGAACAGCTATGTAAGAGACACTAAAGGCCTTTTTTAAAAAAAAAACACTGACATATGTAAGGAAAAAATACCTACCTGTCTTCAGGTCAATTCGACTAGCTAAGGGGGAACATCACATCTAATTCATTCACTATTTTTATTTGCTTCCTTTTGGTCTGCTAAATTTCCACTTGCCCTCTAGAAGATTTACCCCCCCCCCCCCTTCATGACCAGGCCAATTTTTACTATAAGACACTGAGCTACTTTAACTGGCAACTGCGCAGTCATGCAACCCTATACCCAAATGAAATTTACATCATTTTTTCACACAAATAGAACTTTCTTTTGGTGGTATTTGATCACCACTGTTTTTTTTTGTGATATATTTTAAACAGACTGAACACTTTGAAAAAAAACAAACAATATTTTTTACTTTCTGCTATAAAACATCAAATAAAAAAAATTTTGGGGAGTGTGGTTCTTTTGGGTAGAGACGATATATATTGAGCTAATTTATTGTCAACAGTATAAAGTATCAAGATACATTCATGATGAAGTGCAACTCCTCTTCCTATGTTAAAACTGTTGTGTTATACACAAATAGATTTTAAAAACGTGTTGATCCTGCCAGAAATCCAGTGAACTGATAACTTTTTGAGCTCTCTGCCTGGGCTGACTGTAATACATCAGCTGTGTTATCAGTTTTCTCAAACTCCAGAACACCTCCCTCCCACATATCTTCAACAAAGATATAGTCCACCCTAGGAAGGGAAGTGTGTTACAGGCAGGATCACCAGCTGCAAATAAAGGAAAAGCCATGAAATGCAGCCACCATAACTAAGGACTGATAAGCTGCAATATATTACATGTTTGTTCTTGGGTTTAGATACACTTTAATAACATGAAGTGCAGCCTGCTATTACATTTATGTTGATAAAACTGGATAGTGGGATTAAAAGAAAAAAATGGAGTGTATCTGGGTGCCAGATCACTTCTGTTAAAGGTAATGTTCAACAAATAAGCATCATTATTGGGATGGCCTAATTTAATATAATATTCAGTTTTCTCGTATCTATAGACATGTGCTGTTGTGATTCTTCTGGGTTGAATCCTAGTATATACTATTTGTGTCTCTCTTTTCCCTACTGGTGGATTTTAGACCATTGAGGTTTTGGACTGACGGCTATCTTTTGTGCCCCCATATCTGACCTTCTGATTGGCCCCTTGCCTTCTGGAATACAGAGGCAGCCTGTCCCTTATACATGGAGGGTTTTGCTGCTGCACGGTGCATATTGATATCATATGTAAGTCATATTATGTTAATATATGATTTTGTTTTGTTTTTTTTTTTCTTGTATCTCATATGTTGTCATTTGATATTCAATTTATGTATATCTGTTTTAGATTTTGCTACTAAGCTCCTGAAGAAGCGATCATTGTCGCGAAACACGTTGGGCCATTTTCCTGCGGCTTAATGTCTCTCACCCCCCTATAGGATCCATTTGGTGGTCTTTACATCTCTAATCATTAATGTGTTCCTTGTACACGGTGGGCTGTGGGACATTGTCTGCGGGGATAGTGTAACTATGATCTTTTAAACTGCAAGATGTTTTTTTTCATGACTCATTGTCATAATAAAGTAAAAATGATTTTACTAATACGTGTTTGGAATTTCTGTGCCTTAAAGTCCATTTGCAACCTTTCCCCCCGTTTTCTTTCCCTCCAATTTTTGCCTGGATAGTGGGATTGATTGTACAGAACAGTAGCACTGCTTACTCTGGGTGATTCGATATTCTTCAGTTCTAATACAATACCTCGGCAATCAGCTTGCGGTGCAGTGGGAAGTTCAGGATGGTTTCCAGCATTTTCTCTCTGTCTAACATGCTGAGAATCTCTTCCATGGTTGGCTGCTGCCACAGGGATTTCCCCAAACTTTTCCTCGTCTTGTGATGCTCCACAGCAGCTGGACCCCACAAAAGCAATCTGCAGGAGGAGGGGAGATTACTGCTTGTGCCAGTACTGCAAAAGCAAGCACTGGCATTCATGTTTAATTACACTTATTATTTTGTAACACTTTATGTTCACTATTAGTTTTTGGTATTTTTTTAAAAATCAAACAGATTCTCCCATCCACATATGCAACGTAGATGGAGGAATCCTCCCCACTGTGCTATTGTATTTGGTCAACAGGACTCCTTTTTCAACAGTTTTGATCAACTTATGTCAAGCGGGAATGGCCATAGATGGCCCAGCATTTGACAGGGTTTAGCAGGGATTTTTGATCCATCTATGGGCAGCTTTAGTCAAGTCCATCAAAATCTGACAGTGCATCTAACACAACCAATTAAACAACAGCATTGCCTGGGGAGATGTTAGTGTTAGCTAGACTAGCAGATTTCGATGGACTTGACGAAAGCTGCCCATAGATGGATCAAAAATCCCTGCTAAACCCAGGTTGTTGATTCTTCAGTGGAGTGGAGATACCCTAGGACAGTGGTGGGCAACCTTTTTTTTCAACTAAGCCAAATCTCGCCAAAACCACGGTTGAAATTTATTTTGAGAGCCACATTTTTAAAACTGAAAATACATAGGATGGTACACTGTTTTTAGTTTCAATACGTTTTTATAGTAATTCATCCCCCATATAGTAATTCATCCCCCCTATAGTAATTCATCCCCCCTATAGTAATTCATCCCCATAGTAATAGTATAGTAATTCATCCCCCCTATAGTAATTCATCCCCCCATATAGTAATTCATCCCCCCCCCTATAGTAATTCATCCCCCATATTAATTCATCCCTCATATAATAGTAGTGAGTAAGTAGCAAGTAGTAAGCCAAGTCCCCCCCTGTGTCAATTCACTTACCTTTGCTCCGCGCGTTCCTCTCGCCGTGTTCCCGCGCCGTTCCGGTCTTCAGGGCGGACTGTGAGAGGAGCCTAGCTCCTCTCACGTTTCGTCACGCTGCCCTGCCTACACACATCCTGACAGCCAATCACTGGCTATCAGGATGTGAGTGGCAGCGAGATTGGCCAATCATTGCATTTGAGCGCGCAGCCCTGGCTGTTTTTTTTTTTTGGATCACGCTGCAGAGTCCCTGCCGCCCGAGAGGAGGGAGGGGAGCGGGCGCCCGGCACACAAGAGCCGCATTAAAGCATGTAAAGAGCCGCATGTGGCTCGCGAGCCGCAGCTTGCCGACCACTGCCCTAGGACAAGATGGATAGTACTGGCTGGAGGAACAGGTAAAGGTATACAAGGAAAAAAATAAAAAGGGAAAATGAATGCAGCCACAACATTTAAGAATGAATAAGCTACAATAGATTAAAGTGGTTGTAAAGGCTCAAGGTTTTTTACCATCATGTGGCAGCAGACCCCCTATACTTACCTGAGCCTCCTCTCAATCCAGTGATGTGTACGAGAGCAGGAGCTCTCCGGGAACTCTTCCTCATTCACTGATACAGCAGCAAGAGCTATTGGCTTCAGCTACTGTCGATCACAGCTAGTGAGCCAATAAGGAGAGAGTGGGAGATGGGGCGAAGCCACACTAGTGTGTGAATGGACACACAGAGCAACGGCTTAGGAGCAAGCCTGCTCGGGTGCCCCCATAGCAAGCTGCTTGCTATGGGGACACCTGGCAGGAGGGAGGGGCCAGGAGCTCCGGCGGGGGGGACCCAAGAAGAGGAGGGTCGGGACTGCAACTGTGCAAAACCACTGCAGGGAGCAGGTAAGTAAGGTAAGAAAGACATGTTTATTTTATTTTTAAACCTGCCTTTAATATCACTTTAAATTTTGTATTTTGGGTTTAATACTGCTTTGAACCTAAAGTTTGTTACTTTCAGCAATGTGAATGTTATTAACAGTTTAAAGGCTATGTTCACCTTTCTAAAAAAAATAAATAAATGCTCACTTTTTTTCCATGTAAAAAAAAACAAAACAAAAAACGACATTTATTTATTTTTATAGGAGCTTGTAAAGCATTGCACCCACGATCAGCAGATAGGTGCAAAGCAGACAGTTACTGAATGACAGGAAGAATCAATGCACTACCAGAACACACCCTGGTAATTCAGTGAGAACTACAAGTTGCCAGCCAGAACGGCTGTCAGTACTAGTAGTTAATTCGTTCACAGAGGTCTGTTAATGGATGACGCAACCGTGTGGGAGGAGCCCCAAATGGTCACACTCTTTTCACAGTCTGACAGCGGATGTGGGGAGGGAGAAGATGCCTGGCCTCCTGTCACAATGAGGAGATGGATCGGGGAGAGGCTGCAGGAACATGTTATATGTTCCACCCTGAAAGTTGGTGGAACATATAAAACATGTTCCCAAAGATGAATTTAACCTTTAACTGAGACAATGCCCAACTTACATTTCACTGATCTGACTAGAATATGGGACCTGGATTGGTGACTTGGGCTTAAAACAGTTCGGCAGCATTGATGCTCTTGGCACAGCCTACCCTTGACTGTTAACAAAATGAAAATTATATTTTTAAGTACATTACCTGAAATCTCGGAGGCTCAGGTTATTTTTCTCATATGCCTGCAGAAGGAGAAGGATTTTTTGGTCTGGAATAAAAAGAAGATAGTTAAACATAATAGAAAAAAAGAAAATGAGAAAAAAGCATCTGAGGGGGAATCTCCATTTTCAATAAACCATTCTTGTGCCTTAGATTTGTATATCAGAAAAACCATTACCACCCAATGCCCTTCCACCCACCCTTTTCCCCAAAAACCAGGAAAAAAAAAAGGCAAGCATCAGGACAGTCAGGCAATATACCGGCAGCCATGGCTTTACAGAAGACAATGCAGAAGATGTACAGACAGGAATTGATAAGAAATAGAAGAAAGGATGATTAGAGGGTTAATAGAACAAAAACAAATTTGAGTTTGTGGAAAACTCTTAAGAGGAAACCATCTAATCCAGTATCAATCAGGGACTTTGGTGGACAAATCTGTGCACACCTGCTTTTATCATTACAGTAGAGTCCCGCTCCATTGTCAGATTTGTTTGTGCTGTGTGTGGAGAGGAACGATCTGACCCATGTGTACACTGTGCAGAGCCAGACAGAGATCTCCAGGTTAATATAGGAAGGCTGATACTACGGGCAGACACTTGACCTGCACGCATCCATTAGTTCAGCTTCCATACCATGACATTTTTATTCCATAGTATGCGGAATGCAAAAGCAGGAGTGGGAAACCTAGGGCGAGTGAGAACATACAATGCTGAGGAGAGGGCAAGAACTATGGCAGGAATTATCTACCATGTATGTTCTTCACCAGCATCAAGTGGCAGCAGGGGCGGACTGACCATTTGGAAACTCGGGCACTGCCCGAGGGCCCAGGGTCAGTAGGGGGCCCCATGGGATGCCCCTGGTACCTTTTTCATAGGCTTTTTTGAGTTTGGGCAAGGCCACAGGGGCCCCATGATCCCCTATTGCCCGGAGGCCCCATGAGTTGTCAGTCCGTCCCTGAGTAGCAGAACAATCCAGGGGGCGATTCACTGTATAAAGCACTTCCCTATAACTAAGAATAACATCACTTTTGACTGTGTCTGCCATTTAAAGTGTTTGAAAAAGGCTCAAAGTTTTATTCTATGCATGAAGGTAAAAAAACCTTCTGTGTGCAGCAGGCCCCTTTAATAGTTACCTGAGCACAATCACGATCCAGCGATGTGCAACACAGCCTTGGCTCTAGAGGCATTAGGAGTATGCATTTTATGAAAACGCATCAAAGCTTGCGGCATGCAGGACTTTAATGTGCTTTCATGAAAGCACAAATTCTAAAAGCGCACTTAGAAACGTGTAAAATGCACTTATAAACTATCACCTCTCTTACCTTGCACATCCAAACATTAATCCTTTCGTCTCTATCCTGCCACTGTACGTGAAAGGTACATTAACCCCCTTCACTTCCTCCATGTATGATCTGTACATTTATCTATAGCACCATTCCTAAGCTCTATGTTTAACCCCTCAGTTTCTCAATTTCAAAAAAATTGTAGCAAAAATTAGATCAGTTCGGTTGTCTACGTTCTCCAAGAGGGTCTTTTTGGGGCTTTTTGTACTATTTTTTAATTTTTATTTTGACAGAAAGAAAAACATTTTTTTTTTTAAACTTTTGTTTTTTTTTTTTCCTTTTTTATAGTAAAAAAAAAATAAAAACCCAGCAGTTTTCAGATACACTTATAACCAAGTTGTAACCACGCTTTTAGGATAACAACCAACTATAAGCAGCAAGCATTCTGTGAGATATTTTTCACAGCTAATACATACAAAAATGTGCGGCATTGAAATACACTAAATAAGTGCTCAAATAATAGTGAAATAAAGTGTTCAATATAACAATATAAGCAATATGCTAATGAGCAGAGAACCAAAAGCTTCTTATAGTGTGAAATATGCTATATATTAAATGCCAATAAAATTGCACTTAGAAGCAAAGAAACATAACCAGCACTGTATAAAACACCCAATCCTGTACAAAGCTCTGCACTTCCGGTATACCTGATGACATCACAACAGGCTCCGCCTATGTGTTTTGTCGTAAATGACGTCTTCTGGGGCACAGAATATATTTTTTTGCTTGTAAGGGCAATTGTATTGGCTTTTAATACATATATAGCAGTTTTCACACTATGTGCAGCTTTTTGTTTCCTGCCTCAATGGCATATTGCTGCATACATTTGGAAATGATCAGGTGATGAGCCTTGTGCCAATACCCCTTGGAAAGAGAACCAGTCTTGCAAACGAAAGTGCACAGAGGCCAAGAGTGTGGATTTGTACACATTCCTTAAGGACATTATGACATATTATTAATATACAGTATTTATAAAGCGCTAACAGCTTTAGCGCTGTACATTACAATGGGGGACAATACATGCAACAGTACAATAACAA